TTTTTGGTGTCCTGTTCAAGTCGATGGTACATTGTCTGTTGTGTATGTAGTCATAAAATTTACTTCTCAACCAGGAACCGATTGAGTAAACGAATGAGTAGAAAGAAAGTAAAATCAAGTAAAATATTAAGAAATTTAAAAAAATTATAAATATACCCATATATTCGCAACGGGTACAGCCCAAAACAACGCACGGCCATAACAACGTAAAGCCATAACTTGCTTCAAGATTTCCGAATCTTGTCATATTTAGTGTTAAATGATTCCTCTCATCGAGATAAAAAGACTGTTACCAAAATTGTTAAGGGCAAGTAATTTTCCAGCTAGTTATGACTTTACGTTTTATGGCCGTGCGTTGTTTTGGGCTGTACCCGTTGCGAATATATGGGTATATTTATAATTTTTTTAAATTTCTTAATATTTTACTTATTTTTCTTTCTTTCTGCTCATTCGTTTACTCAATCGGTTCCTTGTTCGTTCGTTTACTCAATTCATTCGTTTACTCAATCGGTTCTTGGTTGAGAAGTAAATTTTATGACTACATACACAACAGATTCCTGGTTCGTTCGTTTACTCAATTCATTCGTTTACTCAATCGGTTCTTGGTTGAGAAGTAAATTTTATGACTACATACACAACAGATAATGTACCGTCGACTTGAACAGGACACCAAAAATCCTAAGATGGAAAGAATGGACAACCAAAGTGGTTGATTTCTTGAATTCAAGGAATGAAGGTGGATTTAAAGTTTATATTTTTGAAGAATTCGACGAGAAGCCTATTTTTAAATATGGGGCTAATAATTGCAATACTTTTATTTTATTTTATTAAACAAATAATCATTTTGATGGAGTTAGAAGGGCAAGTGATTTGTTTGGTGAAGCTTATTACCTATCATCTGTAAACCATCGTCAAAGCGACCATGCTGCATCCTGTATATCAAAATGTCAAAATTGTTCAAGAATCGGCCCTAACTACCATGTCAAAAATTTGGCAACTACTTTAAACTATGTAATGTCCTTTTGAAGGAATTCAATAATTAAAACTGTTACAAAAATCATCTAACTTCAAGCTTTTGTAACAACTCGAAAACGTGTCTACTTCCGAGCTAAACATGATTCAAAATTATCGATTCTGAGAAGCCCTGGCGAAACTTGACGCCTAGCGAACCTCGATGAGCTGTATCAAGCTATACCATGGCGTCACGAATACGATATTTTGAATTAAGTTATAATTTGGCAGTACATTGACTTTGCGTTATTTAGCCTGCTCCATTATTTTAGGTATCAGACTCACTTTGATATTCTGTGGGGCTGGGGCCAAATTCAGTAAGCATCTGGACGAGTGTATCTGGGTGTAGCGAAGACATTTTAAACATTTGTTATAATTTACTTATCTTTTCTTTACACATTTAAGACAACTTTTTCATAAATTTTATAAAATTTAAGAAAATATTCGAGATACATTTTGTGTTTAATAAAAGTACGGGAACTTTTGCCGCACCTTATAATTGTGAAATTAGATTTAAATAACTTTCTCTTCCAAAAATAAAAGTTTTAAACTTTGATTTTAATTTTAAATTTGTAAATTTAATTTTTTAATATTTAATGTAAACTTGAAAAAACTTTAAAAATTTTAATTTAGTCGTGAATTTCCCAAAAATGATCGAAAATTGATTTGAGATTAAGACGGATATCAAGAGATTAAAAAGTGAAAAGTTCCATGGAAAAATTAAATATTCCATGGAAGTTCTCGTCGGGTTTTGGAAAATTTTAGTAGGTAAGATATTTTTAACAGGTGATATTTGCCGGTATTTTCATGTAATATGTTTCTGATTTGGAGTGACTGGGCCGATCGCTTAAGATCGAAGAAATTACATCCATCAAATACTGCTGGATACATACAAAACCAAAAAAAATTTTATACTATACTAAATAAACGAAATTTAAGAATTTAAATGTAATAATTTAAATATCCCTACATGTAAAACCATATCTTTTAAAATAAATTTTGACCCTATCTGAAAAGAACAGTCGAATCATTTTCTCATTCCTTCAACACTTTTGTTCTTAATATGAACATAATGGTCAGACTTCACCTTTACTCAAATCTACTACTTAGTTTCCAAATGAGAGACATAGATTAAGAAAAACTAAAAAATTTTAGATATTTTTATGTACAAATTTATGTGCCTTATCCTATGGATTAGGTACCAGTCACTGCATTTTAGAACCGATAAAGGAATAAAAAGTATTCTACTCTTCTGTTCAGTTAGGGCCTGAATTTTTATGTGAAGTTTTATATAAAACATAATCTTCTTGTCCAGTTTCTGCGTCTTTAAAATTTGTTGGGATTGGAATTTTTTGGATTTACTACATATAGCATAATGACAACCTACTCATTTGAACGATCAATTTAAACTGGACAAGAACCAATAAATGTCTGAAAAATCCATATAAAATTGAAGAAATTCGTATTTAAAAATATAACATACAGCCGAAACTCGAAATGTACTGAATTCTTCAGCAGAATTCATCCCCTGTTCATAAGGCTAAAGAATTGCTGGGTTGGTTCTCAGCCAATTTACCCGATTTTAACTCGTCACAGATATTAGCACAGTACTTAATGATTTAAATTGATTAATCATTTTGATATTTTGAATGCAAAAGTCAGCGCTTGTAACCCAAAATTTAGGATACGCTTCGGTAATAAATTTCATGAATGAGAGAAAATCTACCCAAATAGTTGTATATACTACGTTTGTTCGAACACAGGTTTAAGAAAATGGCCATTTTGATTTGCGCATTAGGAGTTGATTAAATTTTTTTTACAAAACAATCTTGGTTATAATTTTTCAAGCAGGGGACTAAATTCGAGTTCCGACTTTAACGAATTTTAATTTTTTTTTTAAATTTTGTTTTTTATAGTTTTGTTTTTTTGTGATTTTTTTTGTATTTTTTGTGTCTTTGGTTCTTCTTTTCTTCTGTTTTTTTGTGTTTTTGTAATTTTTTGTTTTTTTTTGTTTTTTTTTGTTTTTACGATTTTTTTATGATTTTTTTGTATTTCCCCCATTTCTTTAAATAAAATTCGTTTAAATAAACATTTAAAAAAGCTTTTGTTATATGCTCTTCTTTAATGAACATGCGTTGCAATATAATAGAATCCAAAAGCATATAGAGCAACAAGAGACAGAACAATCCCGAAAAAAAGCCAAACTCCACATTCCCATTTAACATAACGTTTTTTTCGAATATTGTTTTGACCTTCAGTTACGTTGTTTAAAATATCGTTAAGGCATCCTTTAAAATTGCTTTTCGCATCATCCTTGTGGAAACTTATCGTGTTTTTACATGTTCCTCCATTCGATTTGTTTTGACAGCCTAAAACACATTTAGCTTTTAATTTTGTTGAATATTGACTCTGTATAGGACACTTTTAATCAGTTCTTAAGAAGTATTATTTTTTGTTTAGGGAAATATAGAAAGCTAAATTATTTATTTTAAAAATTAAAAAAATAATTTTTTCTATATTATTTTCAAAAGAAATTATTAAAGTATCCCATAAAACTTTAGAAATTCACTATGAACAAAAATACCATCGATCCATAACTGAAATCTCAACAGATATAGTTCTAAATTTATTTTTAAATACGAAACCACCTTTTCGCGTTTTTTGAATACTTCGTTTGTAACGGTAACTAGGAAGGTTTACAGGTATTCCTATAGGTATATTTGGATCTCCACCGTAGTATTGTGGATATCCTCGATAAGGAAGAGGTTGGATTGGCTCAGGCTGAAAATGTTGCGGGAGTTCAATTTCGTGTTGTTGAGGAATTGCGGGAGAGTTTTGCCGTCGACGTAAGAAATTTTGAAAATTAATTCCGGGAGGCCATCGACATGTTAAGTCCGATAATCCACTTGAGAGAATAGAAAGGACAATAACTCCTATACCACTAAAAATTCCATGGAATAATAGTGCAGCTTGCTTGTAACTCAAATGTAGATAGGAATAGCGCTTCTTCCGAATCAAATGCGATGAATTAGTTTCGAAGTCATTCTGAAATTTGGGACATTAAACTATTTAGGCCGAATTTTTAAATTTTTTTGATTACGACACCTAAACAGAGTGGAACTAAGCAGAAAAACTAAAAACTAAACTAAGAGACTAAGATGTTCGGAGAGACTAAGATTTCGGAGGGACTAAGATGTTAGAGAGAGACTAAGATGTTAATGAGAGAATAAGATGTTCGGAGCACTATTTTTATGTAAAAATATTTCAATCAACCTCAATTTCTCGACCAAAATATTTTTTCAAAATAGGCAAATCCATTCTCTCATAATTTTTTCGTGAGTCTTCACTCAACTTTGTTTTAAAATTACTCAAAAATGTCATAATATATTTAATAATTTTATCATCAGATTTTTTAATTTCACTTTTTTGCGTTTTGTTTAAATTGCCTTTATCTATGGCGGTCTCTTCTTTTATTAAATTATTTTCCTCATTTTCATCAATTTTTAAAGCATTACCAAAGTTAATTAAATAAGGAAATAATTCTAAAAATTCATCTCTTAATTTGTTTTTATCGTTCCAATTTTTGAGGATATTGCCGAGAAAAACTCTTAATTCCTCCGACAATTTTTCTCCTTGTTTTTTGATTTTACTGAGCTTAAAATAGAGCTTCTCTATGGGCGTTTTCTTGGTTATAAAATTTTCAATAGCAACCACAAACGAATTAATTTGTTTAAACTCATTTAAAAACACAATGTTTTTACTGTTTGAAGCTTTATTTGTTATCCAATCAATTGGTCTCTTCAAATAATTGTATATTTTCTCATTTAAACGATCCATAAAACTTTTTTATTCACATTATCAAAAAGCTGTATTGTTCGAAAATCAACAAATTCAGGCGAGAAATTGTTATTGGAATCTCCACTTACTGAAAAAAAATAATTTTATTTAGTTGATGTACATAATCATTAAGACTGCAATTCAGGGTGGTCCTTTCCAAAAACTAAAATCTTAGACATAATTAAAATTTCATATATAATTTTAAACTCCAATTTCACTATTCTTGCCTATAAATCACAGCCTAAATAATCAAATTCAAGTGTACTAACGAGGAAAGCAACCCCGACATAGGATGTTCGAAAAAGAAAAACCAACGTTTCTTACAACTCGAATAGTCTATGCAAAATAACACTCACATTTAAATTCAACATCATTAATCAAATTTATCATTTCATTCACCAAATCATTAGCAAAATCATTGTCTTGGTTTGATTCATTTACTTTATATTGTTCAAACAATTTAATAAACATTTCTTTCAACAATTTTTTTATCGAATCAAAATTAATTGACTTAATCGTTGCTAATTGCTTGTTGGATATTTCCAACAAAATTACTTTATTTTTGTTTTCGTTATCATCTTTTCCTACAACTTGATTCAACGCTAGAGCTAATGCTATATATGCGGCACGCAGATAATTCGAGCTGAATAAAATCGAATCCTTTTCATTGTGGTTTTTTATCATTCCAGTATTTAATTTATTCAACTGTCCCAAAATACCATCATTTATCTCTCCAATAAGATTTTTGAGGATTGAAGAACCTGGTACTTTATTTAATTCATTAAAGAGTTTATTATTTGTAATTTTGACTTTTTTGTTGTCAATTTGGATGTTAACAAGATTTTCAACATTTATTAAAGCATTCGTAAATGCTTTAACGTTTTCTCCATAATGTTCAATCAAGCGTTTGTAGGACATGACTTGAGAAGCATTGTCTGTAAATTACAAATTCAAGCGAATAGAGGTGAAGATCTTACCAAGATTCAAAAGGCGTTTGCATGCGTATTTGAAAACTTTGTCATTCCATCCTTCAAAATTAAAGTGTCCATTATTTATTTTGTCTTCAAGCTCTTTCTTTTCATTTACTTTCATTAGATCAGTAATGCTTTCACCTTCAATGCTATATGAAAGCATAAGCGCTCGGATCAAGTCATCCACATGTAAAGATTTTTCAGTTTGATTAGGGGTTTCAAAGTGTTTCATAGAACAATTGAAACGAAAAAGTAAAAAACTCCTTAGCTTATCTTTATTTTCCAGTATTTCCATATAATGGCTAATACTCGGATTTTCTAGGCACTTTTTCTCAGCATTTTTCATATAATTCAGAAGCTTTTTCAATGGATTGTTTAACCATCCATTCTAAATTTTTAAAAATATTTTAAAGTCATTCATCGATTAGAAAAAACTTTTAAGGATTTACCTTATTTTCTTTTGGCTTTTCATTGCAATTTGGGTCAAATCGCCAATTTAAAAAATGTTCAAGTGTTTCAGCATTGAACACATTTTGATCTTTTGAAAATTCTTTAAAATTTACACTATCATTGACCATTTTAACCATTTTTAAATCAGGATGAAGAGCTATCATTATCTTCATTGCCACATTTAAATCATATAATTTTTGAGTGGAAACAATTTCTAATAAAGCATTTGTGTCTTTATTTTGAATTGATTCGTACATTATAGTTGCAATATACAGTGGTTTTGTGAGCAAAAATGCTCGGAGAAGCTTTTTGTTAATCTCTGATAATTCCAAAGTCTTCGCATTTTTCATTTGAAAAAGTCCTTTTTCTTTAATGAAGAAATTATCAACACATTCAATATAAAGGTTTAAACGAATTTTTGCGTCTTTATTTTTAATTTCACCATTGAGAAGCCCCTATAAAGTATTTTAAAAATAGTAAAACTTTGTAGATCGTTGAAATTATCTAGATTTATTGAGCTTACTCTGATTGGATTCCCAATTTTGTCTTTCTCGCTTTGTATTGAATTGTCGTCACAAAATGCAGAAATTCCTCCAAATCGGGCTTGATCATTAAACATCGCCATATCATTCAAAAACATAGTTACACATTTCTCGTGTTCATCACATTTACTCGCATTATCTAAAATCCAAGCAATTTGATTCTTTACATGTTGATCAATTTCATCTATTTCGGAAGAAATGTCGAATTCATCCTTTGCATCGAAGAACTCTTCATTTTCTTCTTTAGACACTTCTCCATTCAAATCAACAAGATTAAAACAATAAATTAACAAAATGAAATTTAAAACAATTAGTTTTGACATTTTTCTTAATCAAAATTAAAATTATAAACGTCAAAAAATACTTAGTGGAAATAAAAATATTGCCTCGGCACATGTCCAGAAGTTTTCTCTACAATGGAAATCAAAAATGATAGTTTATTAATTCATCCTATTTTTGCAGCCCGATTGTGAAGATGGGCTGATTTTGCAAAATAATAAGAAAGAAAAAATTAAAATAAAAATGTGCAAATGAAGAGAGGCAAAAATTAAATAAAAAACTAAAAATGGATGCGCCACACTAAAAAGGAATCGCCATCGGCCAAAAAGCATGGCCGATTGCCCCCTCTATAAACCCCTTCCAATACCAACTAGAAATTGTCTTCTACTAATCAATCTTCAATAAAACAAAAAGCCTCCTTCAAACCTTCTAACCATTCACAGTAACTCTGTTAATTTTACTTTAATTGTGAAATAAATATTTAAATTTATTCTTAAAATTAATCTTGGTTTGGCTAATTACAACACTATTTAGCTGTCGAATATTTTTAGTTTTAAAATTAAAAAAAGCCTAAACAGTGAAATGACTGTTTTTGGCTGCTAATCTATGATTTGAAAACTAGTATTTCTAGTGAAATTTCGAAAAGATAACAGCATTATCAATTAGCTAGTAGAATCATTAATAGACACAAAGGTCTGAGAGTTCCCTTTATGATAGTATCCATTCAAAAAATTTTTATTTTATTAATAAATAATATTATTTAAAAAAATTTAATTTCTAAAAATAAAAATTTAATGAATTTAATGAAATGTTTCGTTAATGAACGATATATATAAGCAGGTATCCGCTAGCTCCACCCAAAATTTTTTCCACAGAGGGTGTGGCTAAAAAGATTTTAGAAATGAAGAGAATTATTAAATAATGTCAGTCAAAAACAGATGCCTTTGCCGAGAAAGTCTAAAATTTTATTCATTTTTGTCCTTGCCTTTCGTTTAAAATAATACATTTTTGAATATTTTTGACATGATAAAAAATCATTACAATAAACTATAGTGCAAAAGAAAATTAAAAAAAAATTTTTAAAGAAAATAAATTAAAATTTATACAATTATGTACAATTTTAGACTGTAAAATGGATTATAAGCGCATCCATTTTATTCTCGAGTTTTTAAATAATTAAATGATTAATTAAATTAAGAAATTAAATTATTTCGCTAAAAACTTAAATTAATTAATCATAGAGGAGTTAATAATATTTGAGAAAATTTTAGTTTGAGGAGTTAGTGTGAGTTTTATGAGCTATTACATTTGCAACCTAACCAGAATTATAGACTATTATTTCTCTTTTCTTATAAAAATAACAAACTAATGGATGAAAGAAATTGAATAGCTTTAAGTCAGCCTTAAGTCTACGACTTTTAAGTTATTCTAATTTAAAATACATATTGTTAAAATGTTTTGTGTGGTGGAATGTCTTGTATTTTTATCTTTGTAATTCTTTTATATACAAATCTTAGATATCGTTTTTGTATATCTCTATTTGTTTAATATTTTGTTACTTATAGAATTCCAAACCGTTTACCCTAATTATACAATTGACCTTACGCATATATTGAATGCTCCTATAAGAATTTTAGGATTTTGTGTTTTGAGAGATTTGATTAGTGCAAAGCAATTTCTATTTGCCCTTAAAAATATTGTTTGAATATGTTTATTAAACTTAAATTTAGATGTAAAGAAAATCCCGAGATCACGATTCTTGTCTTCATTGCTAATTTGGAATATCTTGTGATTTCCTATAAAGTATTGTATTTTAGGGTTTGATTTACCTACATATATGTAAAACATAGGATTTGTTTATTGATATGTTTAAACCGTTATTGTTACAATATTGAATGAATTTATTAATGAATAATTGTAAAGCATTATTAGATAAGTCGGTTTTTGATAGAGTTTTTGGAGATACGCTTATTAAAGGGACAAATCATCGTTTTCCTCCTAGATTTTTGGCGTAAATAAATAAACATGAAAATAATTTCATGACTTTGACACTGTTAACAATGTTAATAATTTTTCTATTATTATTTTCCTCGAGCAATTTATTCTGCTTTTACACTTATATCTGTTGCACATTGTTATTGTTTAATTTCTATCGAGATAAAGCAGTTTGTTTGTTATTATCGTTGATTCCTTTGGTAGTACTACATATTAAAGGCTGATAGATGACAATAATCCTAACTATTTGATAAGGCCCAAAGCTGATTTTTTCGAGTATAAAGGGGTGTAATTCATCCCTAGATTTACATATATGTAATATATAAATTTATTTGTATATGATGTGTTTATAAACTAACGGATATTAATAAAACGACTGACTAATTATTAAATTTTTTCACAAATCAAAAAAATTGTTTTTAACTGTTCATATAATTTTATTTGTATTAGCAATTTTAATTAATCATTCATACAATAGTAATAAAATAATTTTAATATTATAAAAACTATTTTTTGATTACTCTGTAATTTATTTTATTCATATTATTAATTTAATTTTTAAAATTTAAATATTTTCTATTTCCGATTAAATTTTATTTTTTTTATTCATTTTCGAATAATTATTCAAATAATTTAACAATTTATTTTCTTTATTTAATTATGTTTGTGCCAAATATGATGCTATTTAATATACTTTTAATTATTATGTTTAATTTAATGGTATTTAATTAATTTTTAATAATTAACGAACATTTGCGTAATTTCAAATTTTATAAACAGTCTTTGTAGACAAGTACGATTAAGTGAAAAAGACATTTAGGTTTCTAAAATGCAACATATAATAGTGATGTTCGGGAGAAGAAAAAACTCGTGAAAAGGGAAACAGGAGTCGGGTCGGGAAATGCTGGATTCGAACCCAGCCTCATTAAAAATGCCTAAGTAAGTGAAGTCACTCAACTGAACCACTAAACCATCGAGCTACAATAGGTGTCTGGAAAAAATTTAAATATATTTTTCCCCTTCCTTTTTCTTTTTTTATTTTCCATTTCCTCTTTTTATTTGTTTTTTCTCTTTAAAAATAAAATTTTATCAAAAAAAGGCATTTTTAGTGGTGTAAAAATTTCTCTAATTAGTCGGGAATTAATATATGATAAATGGTGTTAATAGTTATATCCAGAGTTGCTATTTAGAAAATGTTAAAATTTCAATTTCGTAAGTATGAAGGCGATTTGTAAGTACTGTACTTCCAAAATAAGTACATCTGGCAGCCCTCGTAATATCCTACTAAAATATAAACATTCTAGAATGTACAAGCTGATTTTATACCATGCTTTAGTGATGAATGCCAAAGAATAGCTGTTCATAAAGATAAATGTGCTTTAGTGATAACAGAAATGAATTGGTTCACAAAACCATGGCATGATTCATTTCCATTTTATAATGGTAATCAAATTTTAATTATAAATAAAATTTCCTTTATGTCCCGTTCCTCTTCATCATTGGCTTAATTAAGTAAATCGATCGAAAGGATTAATGATATTAGATTCGCACGAGATCAATAGGCTATTGATACTATTGCATTACCTGTCGCCCATTTTCAAATGTTGTTTAAGAAGCGACTAAGACATAAAGAGTTTAGCGAGTTTTATCCATCAAGGAATCTGAAACATACTCTTGTGCCTGCCACCCTTGCAGGATGTTCTACCATTATTCTAACGTGTCTAAACTTGTTTTATCTTTTCTGACTATATATAGTTTAACAACCCGCATATGTATGTTTAAATGCAGATAGCTGAAGTAGGGTGACTATGCCGATTTCTTGGCTCAAAAATTCGAAATGCAAAGGATTAACTTTCGAAATCAGTCGTCATATCAATTTAATACACGAATTTTTAGACCCAGATTTCAAAACTCTTTCAAGCACGTTTGTAAAAATAATTCACCTATTAGCAAGTTCGAGTTCAGTCAGCACAATCTGTTTAAGTCACAAGGATAACCACATCTTCCGAGCCCTCAACTTTAGTAAGTCCGTCGCCTGCTACGTTGCCACGAGCGAAGCAATTCAAACCACATTAAGGAATTTGTGTGACAATTGACAATTTTATATTGGCAATTATTGACATTGACAATTTATGGTATTGGTATTTTATAAGGGTACTTTTGAAAAATGGCGACATATACATAATGCGATCTCGTGAATTTCCCGAAGTGGTGATTTTTCGTAAGTTAGGGATTTTGTGCCAACTTGACGACAACATTTATTTATAATTTTTACGATTCCCCGAAATGTTTCGTAAAAATTTTTGCTTTCACACTTTTCTTCTCGGGTGTTGCATTCCACGAGGATTTTAGCTGTTACCTCTTTTGGGAACAACTTTAATGCTATTTAATAGAGCCCGGCTCGATACGATTTTTTATCGATAATTATCAATATTTTTCGATATTTCTTTTCGATATTTATCGAAAAAATATCGACCGAGAAAATTTTGACTTTTTTGATATTTTTCGATATTTTTCGATATTTGTCGAAAAAATACCGACCGAAAAAATTTAAATATCGAAACAATCGACCGACCAAATGATAAAATATTGAAAAAAATATCGAACGTCATTTTTGTCAAAAATTTTAATTTTTGGCACCAAAAAGGACGAAAATGGAAGAAATCTAGCTTTCTGGTCTTCCAAAATTCTTAAAATTTTCGCCTGCGGCGCTGAAAATTAAAGATCATGTAGCCTGGTCTTCCAAAATTCTCATAATTTTCGCCTGCGGCGCAGAAAAGAGATTTCGGCTTATTGTTCTTTGGATCATTAATTCAAATAATTTGTGTTTATGACACTGTAAATGAAAGAATGTTGCCAACTCAATTACGGGGGGATTTCGATGGGTGAGAGTGATTTGAAGTAATTTTTAAAAATTTGGGATGAGTGATATTCAAGGATTTAGGTCACTGTCTCTATCCCAATGGCAAAACCACCGCAAAAACCGTCACCATGAAAACATGACCGTAAATGTTGACCCTGATTTGTAAGAATATCTCCAAATTCCAAG